ACTTGACCACTGCACAGTCTGAGCCGGAACGGCCCAGATCACCTTGGACCCCATCCTATTCCGTTACGCAACATGGTCAGATCTCGCCCGACGGAAGGTCAGAGTCAGGGGAGGTTGCAGCTCCTACCTCTAAGCAGGAAATGCTCTCCGCCGAGCAACAAAGTTTTATCGAGGCAAGCAAATTGTACACCTTCATTGAGTTTGTTTCTTATTTGATCGCATAGCCCGTTCTTGAGATATCTGTGCTGGAAACGTCACTTAATTCGCCCAGGGCGAGCTCCCCATGGACTCCTTCATATTCTGTTTCGATCCAAGGCAGTCCTCTCCCCGTCTCCGCCGAGTTGGCGGAATCAGAACTCCAAGCAGATGATCTCGTTCTCGAGACTCCTGTCGTCGTCGCAGCAGTGACAGTAGATTCCATTCCTGAGGCAAGCTATCCGTGTCCTTTTTGTGTTTGTTTCTTATTAATACCACAGGCGGTGGTTGATGTGTCTGCACTCGAAGCGCCGCTCGATCCACCCAGGGCAAGCTCTCCCTGGACTCCTTCGTATTCTGTCTCGGTTCAGGGCAGCCCCCTTCCTGTCCCGACCGAATTGGCGGAATCGGAACTTCAAGGAGAGGACCTTCGCGCAGAGATTCCTGCCGAAGTGGAAGTAGATCCAATTCCCGAGGAGACCTTAGCTACCACTGCACTGGAATCTGCCAATAGCACTGAGGTTCAAGTGGTGGTTGTTCAAGAATCCATTCCCGAGGCAAGCTATCCGTGTCCTTTCTGTGTTTGTTTCTTATTAATCCCACAGGCGGTGGTTGATGTGTCTGCGCTCGAGGCGCCGCCCGATCCACCCAGGGCAAGCTCTCCCTGGACTCCTTCATATTCTGTCTCGGTTCAGGGCAGCCCCCTTCCTGTCCCGACCGAATTGGCGGAATCGGAACTTCAAGGAGAGGATCTTGACGCCGAGATTCCTGCAGAAGTGGAAGTAGATCCAATTCCCGAGGCGACCTTAGCTACCACTGCACAGGAATCCGCCAATGGCACTGGGGTTCAAGTCGTGATTGTTCAAGAGTCCGTTCCCGAGGTAAGTCATCCGTGTCCTTTCTGTGTTTGTTTCTTATTAATCCCACAGGCGGTGGTTGATGTGTCTGCGCTCGAGGCGCCGCTCGATCCACCTAGGGCAATCTCTCCTTGGACTCCTTCATATTCTGTCTCGGTTCAGGGCAGCCTTCTTCCTGTCCCGACCGAATTGGCGGAATCGGAACTTCAAAGAGAGGATCTTGACGCCGAGATTCCTGCAGAAGTTGAAGTAGATCCAATTCCCGAGGCGACCTTAGCTATCACTGCACAGGAATCCGCCAATGGCCCTGGGGTTCAAGTCGTGATTGTTCAAGAGTCTATTCCCGAGGCAAGCCATCTGTGTCCTTTCTGTGTTTGTTTCTTATTAATCCCACAGGCGGTGGTTGATGTGTCTGCGCTCGAGGCGCCACTCGATCCACCTAGGGCAAGCTCTCCCTGGATTCCTTCGTATTCTGTCTTGGTTCAGGGCAGCCCCCTTCCTGTCACGACCGAATTGGCGGAATCGGAACTTCAAGGAGAGGATCTTGACGCCGAGATTCCTGCCGAAGTGGAAGTAGATCCAATTCCCGAGGCGACCTTAGCTACCACTGCACTGGAATCCGCCAATGGCGCTGAGGTTGTAGTCGTGGTTGTTCCAGAGTCTGCCCAGGATGCAGATTCAGAAGTCGTAGTAGCAACGGAGCTCACCCCCGAGCTGGGATCGCCGGAGGTGATCATCCCTGTCGCAGAATCTACCCCCTCCGTCCAGACTGTGGGCGCGGAGGAACCCCTGGAGGACAGCGCTCCGATCATCGACCAGTCCGCTTCCACTGGAGAAGAAGTGGTGGACATTGTTGCAGTAGATTTTGCCCCCGCGTTGGTGGAAGTCAGCCAGGGAATTGTGGTGGAATCTGTGCCCATCGTCGAGGGTGTGGACGCCCCCACAGCCGAAGAACTTTTCACCGACAACGGCAACGCAGAAGCTCCGGTCGAGGAGGAAGCCACGGTCGTGCTCCTAGAATCAGCGGAGTTCAATGCTGCGGCCATCAACGAGGACACCTCTGATGTCGTTTCACAGTTGATGGCTATTCCGGAGGTTGAAGCCTTGGTTGGGGAGGACATGACAATTCCAGAGTCTACGCCGATTAATGCCCATGAAGAGGACACTGCCGCAGAGACTATTCTCCCAGTGGAGGATGCTCCCGCTCTAGCTGACGTTGAAGATCTCGGCTCAGGAACGGAAGCCACCCCCGTCGTTGAAGTCGAAGTTGTTTCCCAGGACGAAGCTCCACAAGGGTCTAGAGAATATGCAGACGTCTCCGAGGATATCCCCGTGGTTGAGTCTCATGGAGAGTCTACAGATGCCCCTGGTAAGTTTGTTTCAGATGTTTCAGATGTTTCCCTGAACCGCTGGCATTCAACATGATTTTCGTAGTTGAAAAGATCGGAGACGTCGCCGTTGCGGATTCTGTCACGGTCGTGGATGCCGTGCAGGTTGAAACGATTGCGGTACCCGAGGAGGCGCTCAAACACGTCGACACTACTGAAGATGAGGCCGTTCCAGACTCGGTGTCTGCTCCTGTCCCGGAAGCTACACTTCTGGCTGATGTCACGGCTCAAGCAGATACGTCCGACCCGGAAGCCTCCGTCCATGCACCAACCACGGCAGAATTCGAAGGGGTCGTCCCGTCCGATGAGGTGGTTACAATCGAGGAGCCCCCCGCCTCGCTTCCTGTATCAGAGCATTCCTCTGTCGGTGAATCGGTTGTACAGACAACGTCGGCTGTCACAGGTAGGAATTCCCTATTATTCACGTTCAAAAACGACGACTGATGTTTGTCGATCAGATGTAATTCCTGTGGACGAACCGGCGCCTGTTGAAATCGCCTTCGATACTATCGTTGTGGATGAAGTGGTGCATAAGGAGGTCGTCCCAGATTCGGAGTCAGTTGCACCAGCGATAGTCTTAAGAGACGAAGCGACCATCGTCGGCGACGAGGAGACTTCCACTGTCCCGCAGGCCGACGCTGTGGAATCAACATCCACAGATGAAGCTACTCTCATCCAACCTGCTACCGCCTCCGTCCTCGCTGAATCAGAACAACCCGAACAAATTGATGCTGAAACCCCAGTTCATTCGGTTGAAGACACGGTGGATATCGCCGCTGCGGACCCAGCAGATGGTCAAGCAGACGAAGAATCACAATTCAGGTCCACCCTTAAGGAACATCAGGCCATCGACTGGGTCGAATCCGCACCAACTCAGGTGATTGCGGATGCCGCTACTGCGGAGGAGCAACCAGTAGCCGTCCCTCGTACAATTGTGGAATCTGCTGTTGTTGAAGAGACTACTGCGGAAGCGGCGCCCTCGACTACGTCGGAGCCTCTACCCGCCGCAGAGCCTTCCAAGGACAAAGTCACCGACATCGCCCAGGAAATCGTCACGATACCAGTTGAAGAGATCCACGATCCCAACACCGACGCCTCCACCCAGGAATCCCTGGCGGCTTTGGGTATGACTTCTGCCGCGGAAGAACCGAACGCAGTCATTGAAACCGTCGTTGAGATGGATTCTACCGCTCAGGATGCTATCCCCCCCGCTGACGATACGCTCATGCACGCCATTGACAAGACGGAGGCTGTTCCTGAGGTCAACGATGCTCCCCCCACCGTCTCGGAGAGCGTAGCGGCCGACGTCGCTCCCTCTTACGGCGCCGTTCCTCCCGCGACCCATTCCGACGGTGTCGAACCGTCCATCGCAGTAGTTGATACAGAAGAGCCAGCTGACGAGGCAACCCCGGTTCCGTCGGTGGTCCCACTTCCGGCTGAACTGCCGTCGCAGGCCTTCCCCACCATGCTCAATATTCCCAGGTAAGCTGATACAAGTCTTGTATGACTTGAAGCGGACTCAAATGTTTTCCAGATCTTCGGATGCAGGCGATGATGCAAATGATTCCCATTTGGATCCACCCCTTTCACCTCGTTCCAGACTGGAATCCACCGCATCCTCCCTGTTCTTCCCTGGAGGATGGTTTTCAAAAATTCCGCAAGGGAGAACTTCCCTTGACGTGGCTCAAGGAGAGTTCGCTCCTTCCAACCCCGCCTCGCCTTCTATCCATTCGCCCATAAACGAAGCGGACCACAGCGAGGAGAAGAAGGGCAAGTGGTGCGTTGTGATGTGAATTGTTAATGATCTTTTTATGAATACCTATAACGACTCCCTACATCTCTTCTTCATCTCACACTTTCCTTCAATTCATAACTACGGATTATGTACGGATTTACATGGATTTCTTACTAATTTTTTCTTAAATGCATCCCGTTGACTGTCGGTGGTCGCCATGAGTAAAGCCGGTGCTCAGCGCTGATCACGAAGAAGAAACATACACCTCCCAGGGCCCGGCTATGAAATCGAAGAGGGGAAATGGAGTAAAGAAAAAAGACTCGTGGATGGCAAACAATCCGTGGCACACTCAATTAGTTACTTCGCGAATCTGAGTATACGCTTGCAGTGCATATCACGTGGCAACTGATTGCTCACGCCATGCCATCTAAGGTGTCATTCGCGGTGAGATATTGGGAGGCATGACAGACAGACCTACCTGGTTCGAACAGGCCCATCGAAATAATATGCGCCTGTTCGAACCAGGCAACCGAACTACATTGGAATTGGACTACCTCTAACAGCAGATTGAACCTGGTTCGAAGAGGTGACATTAGGTTAGGACCCTTGAAGTCTCCGCCTCAGCCGTGGGGACTGTCCCCGCCGTTGATATTTTTCCTATGCTTTCAATTTCCTTAATTTTTGACCGTTGTTTTGGACTCGGTGCATTTTTGCAATTATCATATGTATCTGATCCAAAACAGGATGCAAAAAAAACCGGATGCCAAATTAAACAGGATGCCAAAAAAAAACAGGATGCCAAAAAAACAGGATGCCAAAAGAAACTCCGACTTGTCTGGTTCGAACAGACGACACCCAGATTACGCAGCCCCGGCTAAGGTAACCAATTACAGTCTGATGCTCTTCCAACTGAGCTAAAGTCGGACAGAAGGTGATATCATTCTAGTCACTATGGGTACTTCATTCAACACAGTCAAATGCCTGGATACTTACAGCCGTTCCCGAAAACGTTGGCAGAAGCCGAAATTTTTACACGCATTTGAAATTTTTGATGCAGTGATATGATCTGCCTTGTATAGACTTATCCCCGTAACAGTTAACGTAGGGCAGCGCCTGCGTCGCGGTAGCTAGGTATATTGCGGCTGGGGATTCGGCGAGCATGGTAAGGAGGTTGTTGTCAGTTTCCCCCAAGGATTCGAGGACATCCTCGCATCGGTTTGATTGGTGGGACGACAGAGTCGTAAGTCTCCCTGTTTTGCCGCCAACGATACAGGCTACGCTCCGAAACACCCAGAATATCACAAACTTCTTCATTTATGTAGCCGTGGTCAAGCAGCCACAGTGTGCGGACCTTCATGTCCTCACTTATTGCGCGGTAGACCATCGCGAGCGCCGAGCAGTGATTTCCTAGCGAGTCTACTTCCAGGGATAAGTCTATACAAGGTAGATCATATCACTGCATCAAATTTTTCAAAGCGTGTAAGAATTTCGGCTTCTGCCAACGTTTTCCGGAACGGCTGTAAGTATCCGGGTTCTTTCGTAGCGTGCGAATGATGCAATCATACTCCATATGGGAATTTTTGCCTTTTTGGGACGTGGATTCAAGATCAGTGAGAAAATGGTACAAACAAGACCAAACGCGGAAGCACAGCTTTGACTTGCATGGCAGAATCATTGTCCTTGGTAGTGGACCTACATTTCTTTGTTCGCACCTCTAGGTTCTGGTGGTCCTTGCAAGGAAAGATTGCCGTATAGATATGGTTCTTCGACAGCTTGGTTTTTGGGACCTATGAGCAGAAATTACTTAGGAACATACTGCCCACCCGAGCAGGGTCCTGTTTTGCAAAACATCTCAACAATTGCTAGGCAGTCTATTGCGAAACATTCCAGTAGCCTTATATAAAAGAATGGCTGTGGTAGGATTCGAACTCAAAACCTTTTGATTTCCTTGACTGGAAACAGGAATAACATAATAGCCAATTGAGCTAAAGAACCAATGCAAATATTGTTTGTGATAGAAACATACCCCAGACCTCTGACATACAAAACTATTTCATGAAATACTAACTTAAAAAGCTGAGCCACCTCGTACCTAGCTCACCCAGCTCACCCCCTCCCGAGACACATTATGTAAACCTTTTGGAAAGGATTTAGGTTGAAACCAGTTCAAACATCCCATGGGGCAGAGGACAGGCTTAATGGATGTCTATCTGAGCTGTGGTCCAAGATGGTAAACTTGTTTTTAGAGCAAATGACAATTTCTTTATCAATGCAGATCGGACTTCTGGTCCATACTGTCCATGTGATTCATCTTTTTTCCACATACAAAACATGTACAATTTTCTTCTACAATCAATTTCCATGAAGTCGGCTGTACCTTGGCAGAGACCTCACACTGCTCCCTACATTGGGAGGTGATATACCCTGCAAATTGAACAGCAGTACACAGATATTGGAGGGGATTCACCAGTACAGTTCCGAAATGGGACCACTAAACCTTTTTTTTGGAGTGTTTAAAATAACATAACAAAGTTGGCAGAAGCATTCTAGGTTTGTCCACTTGTGTTGCTAGTTTTAGGCCAGTTGATCCACTGAGCCTAATATTATCCTAAGGGAAAGGCATGGCTCTTTGTGAGGGGACAGTTGATTACTACTATTCGATCTGGGCCGGAAAGGAAGGGAAGTCGTCGACTCCCGTTCAGACTATCGGAGAAGGATTCCTTTACGCATTCGAAGCACTCCTGTGGCAGGCAGTCCACGCAGGTGCAATTGATGATGCGCTGGCCGCCTGACTCGGAGCCCGGCCTCTGTCACGTTTGGGGACCGTGTTATATACCGAGCCGGGTTGGACCCGAAGAGTAAATGGCCGAAGGACCGGAGGCTCCGGTATGTCGGAGCGTCGGAGAGCCGGAGGGTCCGGAACGTATACGGAGGAGGATCACAACACCACAGGGGGTCAAGGGTGAGCGACTACCCTAACCGGCAGGTACCCGATAGAGGAAGACGAGTCGGAGTACCGGAGGGAACCGGAGAGAACGGAGACGACTCAGTGCAAGGGAAATGAGCCAAGCAACGTCAATTATCAATCTGACGTACAGGACATATTAAAGACGTATTTATACTAAGTATCTAATTGTATTCCATAAAAGGAAGGAGAGTGGTTCTTAACAATAAGTCAAGTCAGATGTGCTGATGAGAAGTCGTATGACAATAAGTGAAAAGGAAGGAAGACGGATAAACGGGAAACGCTCAGTAATCCTTCATTGCGTAAAAACCCGATGGTACCGGAACGGTTCGGAGGCTCCGGTATACTACCGGAGCCTCGGAACCTACCGGAGCTACCGGAAGGTCGACGAGAAGACTGGGGATGTTGCATGGATATAACAGTATCCCCCTCTTAGGTTCCTCTCCCATGAGGAACCCAAAAGGAATGAGGTTTGTCGAACAATGAAGAAGCGTGGGAAAATAAACAAGATCAAAAAGTCACGTGCTGTTGGTTTTGACTCAGACGTTTCTTTCTTTCGTACCACCACCACCTCCGGTCACCAATCCCAAAATTCGATGTCGAGCCACGGAAACAACGACAGTGGGCGCGAGGGGTCGAGCGACGACTACCGCAGCGACGCCGGCAACGGCCAGAAAACCGGGAAGGGGAAGGCGCGAGCGACCACGACGGAGCTGCGCGAAGAGGCCGCCCAGCGGTTCTACGAGGAGAGGGAGCAGCGCCGGGTACGCCTTATCTCGGCGTACCAGGAACAGGTGGAGGAGGCCGCGCAACGCGCGGAAGTGGCGAATGAGGAGGCCGCTCGTGCCCTCCAGCTCATTCGAGACCTGGAGGCACTCGACGCGGAGGCTCCGGAATTCGACGAATTGCCGGTGATTGAAACGTTGAAGTCGGTGTCGCCGGAGCGTGCGGAGGGGGGAGGCGAGGTGGACGAGCTGAACGACGAGGACGACAGCGACGTCGAGCAGGAGGGGGAGAACGGTGCGTCGCAGTGAAAACCGGAGGTTCCGGTACTAACGATTTTGATTTTCGTAGTTTGCGACTCTTGCCGGAGGAGTGGCAAGGTGTGCGTGGTCGAGGCGGGACGCACCGCCTGCCGCCGGTGCCGCGCAAAGCACATCCAGTGCAGTCGCGCGCGGCCCCTTGGGCCACCTCGCGTCAACAAGCGACGTGCGGCACAGGAGGCCCGTCGCCAAGGGTCCGCACCGGTTGCGGGGCCCTCGCGGACGCGCCGGAACCCCCGAACGGAGCGGGGGGACCGGAGCGACCGCGAGGTGCGCGATCGCACGCGGAAGGAGCGGGAAAGGAGGGCCCGGAAGGCTGAGGGCAGAGAGAGTCTGCGGGAACAGGTCCGGGAGCTTGATGCTCACGTCGGATACCTCGGGGAGCAGGTGGGGCGCACTATGTTGCGCTATAAGCTGGCATACCGGGCGTGCCAGCTTATACTCAAGACACTCGCAGCGCCGGAGAGTGGTCGAGAGGTGCCGCCTGGTGTAGAGCGGATGCTCCGGTGGATGGCCGCCGACATGGAGGCCTCCCAGTGGGATTTTTCCCTCGTGGAGCAGGCGGAGCTCGACCTGGCCGCCGAGGAGCCGGAGAAGGATGAGGATGCGCCCCCGGCGAAGCGCCGGAGGCTGATGAAGCGCGGGAGCCCCGAGGTGGAGGAGAAGGAGGTGGGACCCGTCGAGTCGGAGGACTCGGAGGCGGAACCGGAGGCTCCGGTTGCGCCCCGAGCCCGTTCCGAATCCTGGCCGGAGGATTTCCGGTCCACGGACGGCGGGGAGGATGAGAGGATGGAGGTGGACGCGCCTGGGGCGCTGGAGGGGCCGGAAGGGCCCGAAGAACAAATCGCCGCGACGTCCCGAGTTGCGAGCCAGGCTGCGGAGGCGAGGACCATTACGGTCCTTACCTTTAAGCCCGACCCCGAGCCTGTCCCGCCTCCGCCACCCACTCCTTCGCCAGCACCGGAGCCTCCGGTGCAGGTAAAGAGGGAGTCGGAGGTGCGCGAGTTCCAGACTCTCGTGCTGCAGCCGGGAGCGCCAGCCGGATTCCACGAGGAGGATGGAGTCTTCGTGATGGACGATTCGGATGAGGAGATGGGGGAGCCGGAGGCTCCGGAAAAGCCGGAAGCGTCCGGAAGCGCGGAATGAAAGCCCTGGAGGCTTAAAGACAAAGAGACATTGTAGATATATGAAATGAACGTTGTATTTTGAATTTGGATCAATTTTGCTTGATTTCAATTTTGTGTGATGAGTTAATATTCGGGTCCGGGCTTATTCGGAAAGCGCCGGTGAAAGTTGTCGATATGTTCGGCCGCGTCCAAGTCGTCCGCCCCAACCCAAGCATACTGATCGTCGGTATTCTCGTATCCGAGCCATTCGACGTAGTACCGGAGCTTTGTTCGGAACCTCCGGTCGATCTTCGAGTCAACGATTTGCTTGATTTCGAAGTGTGACTCGCCGTCGATGATTTCTACGGCTGCCGGAGGCGGCTCCTCGCGTCCCGGAAATGGGTTCGGAACTTGCGGTTCAAGTTGGGAAATATGGAAAACTGGATGGACCTGTGACAACGATTTCGGAAGCCGAATGGTATAAGAAGCGGCACTGGGTTTGCCAATAACTTCATAAGGGCCAAGGTACGTCTCCGAGAATTTCGGAGTTGGCCGGCTGGTGTGAAGATGCTTCGCGAGGATGAAAACTTGATCGCCGATCGAAAGCGGAGGTTGCGGAGCACGTTTCCGGTCTCCGGTTTCCTTGTACCGCTCCTGGGCAAAAGTGATTTGCTCCCGGAGGAACTGATGCAGTTCCTGAAGATCAACGACAAAATCCTTGGCGTACATGTTCGCAACGTCACGCTCCGGATGGACCGTGATTGCCGGATTGTAACCCTTATTGGCGAAGAAAGGGGAGATGCCGGTCGA